GCAAAATAAAAATCAATCTGGCTTTTAACGTGCTTCAAGTGATTTTGTTCAAAACTGACTCCTGCATGAGCACTTAGGAAAGATTGTGAGAAGTTTGAGTTTTGTAAGCCAAGGTATTTCTCTTCCTCTCCTGCTATTTGTAAAATGACAAATGCATTTTCTAAGTAGGGGAATCATTTCAGATGTTTCCTGCCTTACCCTTTGGTCTGACTCCCCCTCTTTCGACTTAGCATTTTCAGGACTGTTCCATGGGATCACGTCCTATACAGATATTATTAGCCTGCTCACCAGCACATTTCTGGCTCTGTCAGTTGTGAATAATGCAGTCCTGTTCAGCATATGCTCATTAAACTTTTATACTCCGCTATCCCCAAATCTGCAGAGGACATAGTTGTTCTGTCAGTGATATTTAAAGGCTATGAATACCCTACTCACTCCCTCCTCACAAAAAAAGACAGAAAAAAAAGAAAAAGAAGGGGGTCAATATTTCTTGTATCCCTTACACCATAAAGATCAGCTTGACAGGGATAGAGGAGATAACGTCCGGATACCCCAGATAGTTACCCAAGTGTCTAGGCTGCAGCCTCTCAGGATTAGAAGCCACTAGTGTGTTTTCCTGGGAAGAGAGAGAACCTCGCATTTCTTTCTTGCTGCATCTGTGAGGTAAGCCTCAACATTTCAAGATCCACTCCCAGATTCAATAAGCCGAGCTGGAGCCATTGAATCATGCCTAGTGTGGGTAGCTGGCCAACACATTTTTTCTTATTTGGAAGAGAAACTTCTCATTTGGAAGAGGTTCCTCATTTTAACATGTGACTTAATTAAAAAAGCAGCAGCTGCTTGAAGCTTTTTTGGAGTTTAGAATATTAAACTCCCGAAAAATCACAGAGGTGATCAAGTGTTCTGAATAAAAAGAAGACACGCATCACACTGTCCAGCACTTAGCACAATATTCTAAAAGTTCAGGTAAAGTCACCCTCTTTTCCCCGGTCTAAGATTAATTTACTGAACCACCAGTCTGAACTTTTTTATCTTTTCTTTTAAAATGAAGAGATGCAAGAACATACAAGTGAAATGTAAGACTGGTCGCATTCATTCCCAGGAAAGGACTGTGGTTGTACAGCAACGCGTGCAAAGTATTTAAGTTCTCCCCAAATCCATCATCCTTCTAAGCTGTTTGCTCCTTAAGCTAAGAACAAAAGACAAGCTGAGTCTTTGCAGCCTGGAGAGCCGCTTATGCCGTGCTTCTTTGCAGCAATCTTTTGCATACTTGGAATAATTACCATGACTCCCCCTCAATAACTTCTTCTTTACATTAAACAAACCCAGGAGATCTTTAGATCTTTCCTCACTGTTCAAGCTGGGACAGCTTCCACACAAAGGTGCAGGCTCTTGCGTGAACAAGTAGTGCAAGGCTCTAGGTACTCAAACAGGTATTGAAAAGCTCTAGGCTTTCYAGGGGCACTTACCTGGGGGACTCATGGCTGGCACTGATTCCACCAAGCACCTTAGTTTTAGCTATTCCTGCAGTAGTYCAAGTGACACAAAATAGGTTTGACCTCACCTGATCTGTTTTCACTGCAGAACAAATTAAGGAAATAAAAATAGTTTCATGAAACCTGTTTTTTTTTTTTTTTTTAAGATATGTGAACACCCTTTCCATTTATAACATATCCCTCCCAAGTAGTTAAAACATTGAAGAGGACTTATTTAAGGCAAGGCTTAAAGGACTGTGTCTTCGCCATAGCGTGTTTTTCCAGAATTTAAGGAGCCAGAATCCCTCAAAAGCGGCATCTCTCTATGGCCACCACTTCCCCCCACCTCTTTCCCAGGTCGGCACTGGGGCCTGGGGCGTAGGTGRAGAACCTGAGTGTGCTCCCACCCAGGCTCAGGGCACAGCGGCTTCCTYGATGCCGCCAGGCTGATGCTGGGATAAGACGGGAGCACATTTGGCTGGGGAGTGGACAGGCATGCAGGAACAACTGGGTCCCTGAACAAGGGCGAGGGAGCCTGAACAGGAAAGTTAAGATCCAAAGAGGCGCAGGAGCCTCCGGAGCCCCATGAAGTGCAGGGCTGTGCCCCGACAYGCGGCTCCCTAATCGCATCCCGTGACGTGGGCCCTGCGGCAGCGAGCCCGGCGCAAGGCGCCTGCTCCTACAAGGGGAGTCGCGGAGGGCTGAGCCCCACAGCCACGAGGGGAGGGCAGTGCATCCCCCAGGGGTGAGCGGCACCCCTAAGCACCGCTGGGGTACCCCTAAGCACAGTTATGTCAGCACAGAGGTGACAGCCCTCCCGGGGGGGGGGGGACAGCACTCAGAGATGCTCCTTGGCTTATAAATCCCTCAGAGACGACCAGGTGACTGTGGAAAGGTATTTTATTTCAGAATTCCACGCACTCCGTCACAGACCATGCACTAGACTTTCCTCTTTTACAAATCCACAGCCTCCAGGCCTGGGAGAGATGGGCATCATCTCTTCACACTGCAAGTACCCACGTGCTAAGAGTGAAGGCCGTGGTAGCAGCTTGCCAGGAGGCAGAGAGCAGCCTCCTGCTTTCATAATTGCTTCTATATCCTTAAAAAGAAACCCACTGGACTTGGGAGGTGATCAGCTGGGCTCGGCAGGGTGACAACCCGCTGCYGAGCAAGTTGGTCCTCGCCCCACAGGTGAGGGCAGCAAGGCGACGATCCGAGGGGAGGTTGGCGCGAGCCAGGACGCAGCACGACCCGCCAAGGCATTTCTGGAACCCAGGGAGCAAAGAGGCAGCGCAGGCTCCGGGCCCGCTACAATCACGCGTCTCCCTTTGCACATTCAGCGTTAGGGCCCCCTGCTCCGTGCTCCCACTTTTGGCTTGGAAGGAGCCTGCCAAGAGGCAGCACCAATCCAACACGCGCCGCGCTGCGCCCTTCGCACGGGAAGGTGCCGCTTCAGGAGGTTCTCCCCAAATGTGTTCAGCCCCAGGCTGGGTACAGCGTTGGTGTAGATTTCCTGCACACTTGCCCTGCTCCTTCTTGGCCGCCTCTCCCAGACCCTGCTCTTGAAACACTCACAGAGGCAGCGGCCCCGTGACCTGTTACATCTTTGGCCTCTGCTGAGACTGCCACTGCCAGGGCAGATGCTGCCCACCGTGGGGGCTGCCTGTAGGAAGAGAACATCTGCCTCTCACAAGAGAGCTTGTGGCTAGCTCAGAAGGAGGGGAAAAAAAAACAGAAGAAATGGCTAGAGTGGAGCAAAGTCTACAGGAAAGCCAAAAGGCAGCTGCAGTCTCCGTTTGATACACAAAATTCAGCTCAATAGCAGCAACAAGAAACGGCCATCAAATATTAAGTCTTTAGGTTGCCAGAAAAAGCGTTCATGTAAAAGGCTCTACGTACAGGTATGTGTGTGGCAAATGCTCTGAAGCGAAATCAGACACTGCCTTCCTCCTGCTGCTGTCTCACCTTTCTTGTGTTCATCGTCTTGATCGCTCCAGACACGCTGCTGCTCAGTTCTGTGTGACGACCACGGTATCGGACACAGCACCAAGTGAAGGTGGGGTGAGATCACACYGAAGAAATGAATCTATGGGGAACTCCTGGCAACCCTGATATTTTAATATTTTTGTTGACCTTCAAGTAATTAGAAGAAAGGGGAATTTCCCCAAATACCCTATGGACTCCAAGTCTCACCTGTCTGCTTTTAGGATAGGAAGGCTGAACTCAGAAAGACAGGGAAGGACAGGGAAAGGAAGGAGGAAAAATCCCAGGAATTAGAGCAACCAACAACAGACCCAATGCTGACTGCTGCAAAAACTTACGAAACACAAAATCTTACAAACAGAATCTCTGTTAACCTTTAAAGGACTACAGACTACTTACACACACGAACTTCAAAGTATGCATCCGGCGGTCGAGAAAATGCCAGTACCCTAAGGATTAAATAATTTAAAATGCAACACTGTGGTATCACTGTATACAGAATATTATCTGATGCGCTCGCTAAAATGGACGGATTGTCTGAGAAAGATGTGCCCTCCCTCGTCTCACCTGCACTGCCTCTAAAAAGAAAACTAGGGATAAAGACTCTGCTGTTCCACTTCTGAAACACACCCTGAAACGGAGGAAGCCCTGAGGGAAAGGGATGGCCAAGGATGGAAGGCCTTCCTTCTCTCCCCAGCCTCTGCTTCTTGCAACTAATTGCGTTGCAAGAAAGGCTTGACAGCAAAGGAAGGTGCTAAAGAGGGGGGGAAAGGCCGTTAGGGTTCTCTAGCACTGGCTCTGCTTGCCATGGGAGAGCCCCAGAGACAGGAGGCCTTCGCTCTTCCCTGCTCCCGAAGGCAGGAGGCCACCAGGCTCGCCGCTGAGTACATGGAGTCCCCGTGTGTCCCTCCAAACCGCACCGTGGTCCAGCAGCAGGTGGGAGGGCAGTCAAGGGAGGGCAGTGGGAGAGGATGAGGAATCAGGAGTGAACAGAAGTGCATTACCAGCAGGGCCAAGCAGAGAGAAGGGGAAGGCAAGCCCTCCCCAGCTTTCTAATGGTAATTGTAAACTGAGAGCACTGGAAAGCCAGCACATAGCAATGAGGAACGGGGGGGGAAAAGCTTCAGAGGTGACTGGCGTGAAGGTGACCAAACGACACTGAAAGCAGACGGGGAAGGCAGCCCCTTCCCGAACGCCAACACCACATGGGTACCCTCATTCCTGCGCAGGGCTCACAACCTCTCCGATGACACGAGCACAGCCCCATCGGCTTCGCTGCCCTGTACCTGATGAGTCTGCCTCACATGGGCACATCGTAAAACCCTCTGGGGCACAGAGAGCTGCTGCCACCTCCCCCAAACCACAGCAGCCATTCGCTCTCAGGGAAGATGAAAACATAATCCCGTTCCCACGCGTGTCTCCCAGCCCTCCCCCGTAAGCAGCCTCTCTTCCTCCAGGCCAGAGAGAGGCCTCTGAAGAGCCACCCTCTTCTCCATTCCCAGGGCCATTCCCACCAGGAACACCTAACAGGTCTGGTCTGGCAGGAATGGCAAGCACTGCTCCTTCAACCTCATCGCAGAACCAGGCCTCAGAAGTTTCTTCCAAGACTCCCTGCAACAGCTTCAGGGAGAATTGCTCATACTGGTGGCCGTGTTGCAGCAGGCCAGACATTACTTCTCAACCCAGCTTATGAGGTTTTGTAGGAACGGGAGCCTTGGGCACACACATTCTCCTCTTCCAAGCACAAAAACTCTCAATAAAATCATTATTCAGAGTTCACTTGGAAATACGACAAACAGCCCTGTCCAAAATATCTCATTCAGGCTGCACCTCTGGGTTAGAGGGACGAAAAGGGGAAAGAGAAGCAGGGTGGAATAGGGGAGACAAAGAAACACGAGGGTAACATCAGGCAGGAAGAAATCAAAGGACCTCAGCACAAGTCTGCTAAAATCATCACTGGATTCACCGGCCCAGTTCCACCTTCTCCAGACCCAAACTGATTCAATTCACTGCAGTGAGTTTATSACAGGAGAAAGAAGTGCATAGTGTTTTTCCTGGTAGACGCTTAAACATCAGCAGAATTTATCTAAAGATCTTAGAGCTGCAGCTTTACCCTCTCTTCCCCAGCTAACAGGTACCTGCTGCGACAGAAATGGTGGAAATGGACCAGTAGCACCAAGAAATGCAGTGGGAGCAGCAGCTCCACAGCAGGAAATAATAATGAGCCAAAAGGAGACAGAGAGAAGTGGAGGAGACATATTTCGCAGGAACCAAAGTCCACCTTGGCTAAACACCCAGACATTCCCCCGGGAAGGCCTTGTTACGTCTGCAGCAAGACCTCTGGCTCTGAGAGAGAGCTATAGAGGGTGTAGCCCAGCTCGTCCACTTCTTCTGGGGTGAGCTCCGAAAACAAGTTCACCTTGGGGTTCAGAGCGCTAGGGAGGACGCCCGCCTCCAAGTAGCGGATCAGGCCCTTCAGCGCCTGCAAGAAGCGGTCGGCCAGCACGTCCTGGGACCAGTTGGACTCCTCTTCGGAGAGGTGCAGAATGACATTGGTGAGCTGGCTGGCAGTGAGGTGGCCCAGCGCGGGGTTCGACTTGCACACCGCTTTGAAGATCTTCAGGCACACGCACCGGCAGCCGGAATCGCCCTGGTCCAGGGCCCGCAGGCGAGCGGTCTCCGCCGGCCGCAGGCTCAGGCGCCACAGATTGTCGTTCCGGGCCAGCCGATGGGGTTTGGCCACGAGGATGATGTCACCCAGCGTCAGGGAGGGTAGGAAGTCAATAAAAAGATGCCGTTCCGGATCATACTGGACTTCCAGTGTCAAATCTCCCGGGGGAGCTGCTGGACGGATCACATAATCCAAGAGAGTCCCGATCGCCGGCCAGTTGATGGAGCCAGCGACGACTTTCTCAAAGGTGTCTGCTACGGCTTTGGGGGAAAGGTAGCCGCCCACCACACAGCGGTCCCAGTAGCTGCTCCCACGGGGAAAGTACTCGGGGTTTTCCCGACGCACCAAGTAGAAGCCCGGGATGTTCATGATAGTGTCCTCCCCAGGGATGCAGGACCACAGGTTCTGCTCCAGCATCAGAGGCACAATGAGCTGGATGTGGTCGGCTGTCACTACCTTTCACAAGGGAGAAAAACAGGTCAGGAGCAGGTCTCTCCCAGCACAATAAGTTCTTTCCCCCCCTCCACCTCTAGAGAGCCGCCTGTTCAAAGGGACTTGCAGGAAGTATTCAGCTGTCTCCATGTCCTCTCCGTGTGGGATTCACAGCCTCCCTTTCATCAAAGGGCATTTTGAAGGACCATTTCCCAGCTTCAGTGGAATAAATCAAAAGCATGATACACAACAGTGCTTATATGCCACTTGCTATTTAGAGATCTTTAAATACTTAAAGGACCTGACATGGATTGTACATACAAGAATCATTTTGCCTTCTACTGCTCTGAGGCTTCTCCAGATGCAGCTGGGCCAGGGCACAGCGATGCCACAGGATAATTTAAAACATGAGGGTATTAAATTTCTAGCCTAGCTTAACTTGCCATGGTTTAATTATCCCATGTTACAGTTAGGCACTGCCCTCACCTGGTCTGCCACACTGTTTGGAAAAGGTCACAAAAGSTCCCTTTTCACCAATGTGATTAAGACCCCAGATCCAAGTTTCACTTGACATTTGGCGCTCCATTCCGGAGCTCTGACTCAACCCAAAAAACGTGCCTCTGAATCACTCACTATAGCCATGGGCATCTTGCCATCAGGGAGATATGCAGCAGGGACTGCTGTCCAATCCAGGTCTGCCATGCATTAAAAAAAAAAAAAAAAAAAAAAGTAGGGAAGACCTACATGAACATACAGGAGACCTAAGGGAATGCCATATACTTGGAAGAAGATGGAAGGGATAGAAACAGAGAAAAAACAGAGCTAAACACAGCTAAAGGAAGCTAAAGGAAGGGGAGAAAGGAAAGAAGGGTCCGAGATAATAAAAGCACAAAAAGCCAATGCTTTTACAGACAGGGCCAGCACAACCTGGTCACACCAGTAGAAATCAACRGCCGGCTCCGCGGCACGCAACGCGACACCCGGAGCCTCATTAGAGAGGAATGTCGTGCTGAGACAGCACTGCCAGCAGAGAGGCCACAAACGCCGCTGCCTCGCCGGCCCGCTGGATAAGGAGCCGTCACGCGGCCCCAGCAATTACCTGCAGGTCGTCGTAGAGGCTGCCGCTGAGGTACATGTCGCGCAGGGGCATGTCCGGCAGCTTGGCGCGCAGGAAGCTGCGCAGCTCGGCACAGATATCCACGGCTGCCTGCTTGGCCCGCGCCTGCTCCTCCGCCGGGATCGCTACCTGCTTCCTATAATAAGCAAAGAGCTTTTCTTGCAGGGACAAGCGGAGGCGGGATTTTTTCAGTTCCATTTGACTCCTTTTGGCAGATGGCTTGGGCTTCGTGGGTCGGAAAAAGTCTGGAAGACAGAAGGGAAACTGCTGATCAGCTCCATTTGTTTCAGCGGGAAAATGGCTGCATGGMATTGCACCCTCCCAAGCCTCAGAAAACTTTTAACAGACATTTCGCACACAATTCAAAAATGAAAGGCTGAGAAGCTTCAAAAGAAACAGCTAATGAGGAATCAAGGTGGATGAAGCTAAGCTACTAGATCTGGAGTTTATCCAGAACAAGACAAATGCTCTCATCTTGCACAAGAAATATTTTATTGGCTAAGGGCRCAGTACTTGAGTTAAAGTTCATCAAAAATTCAGCACCTTTACCAGACCGTCTGCTTTTAACAGGAGACCAGAGTGGGGGATAAAGCATCCTTGAACAACCATCCCTATCTCCTTAAGTTTTTGATTATATACATACATTTATTTGTGTGTGAAGTAGCTGCTACAACTATGACCACCATCTATCATGGTCAGAAGCTGACAGACCTGGGGGCAAAARCCTCTCTCAAAATTTCATCAGTTAAAGAGAAGAGAGCCCAGCCAAGGGGAAAAGGCAGTGATACAAATGCTCTGTGCTACTGTTGGCCCTGTTAAGCAATGTCTAACCTGCATGGATTTTCTCTAAATTCTGTTTTCTTCAGAATTGTTTCTTACAGAAATGAGTSTCTGCTTCCCATCTACCCTTCAGATTTCTCCTGACCTGGACCTAGAGAGTTTCAAAAATTATTAGCAAGAATTAAGGGAAAATTTCAGACCTAAGAAGTCCTAAGTCTTTGGAAGGGCAGTGGAACCGTAGCAGTAGGATGACAGGGGAGACACCACAACCCAGTGCCATCTTTAAGCCCATCAGCTATTCCACATTTGTCCAACAACAGGCACCTGCCCATGCAACACACGCAGAATGGCCAAATGGGCAGCACATGGATCTATGTCAGTGAGCCCAACCTCAGTGGCTCCTTCCTCTCAACCCACTGTGGCCTCCCGGGACAGATACAGGGRTTCACGTAAAGCCACAGGAAACCAGACCTCAATGAGCATTTGTGAAACAACTTCCTTAATGTTGTTTTCATTTATTTTTAAGCCTAGTATACAAGATATAACTGYCACTGCCTTTAAGCCTCACTGCCCATCTTTTGGGAATCCCATCTAATGACCTAGATCCCCTTTAACCCAGCTGTCTAGCTATTTAATGCATCCTCAGATAGAAATCCACTGCCATCCTGAAGATGACTTTCCTGTAGGTGCCTGGAAAGCAAGTTAAAGCTCAAWGGCTATTTTTCAGATTCAAAAATCACTAAGCTGAAAAGTCACTGATCTTTTAGGGAGTTTACTTTTTTAGGAATTAGATTTTAGGGAGTTTTACTTTTCATCCCTCAGTCACTTYGTGAGATTGACTTTTAGAGATTTAAGGGACTTTTAGGGATTTAAACTTTTAGGGATTTAAAGTCAATCTCACGAAGTGACTGAGGGATGAAAAGTAAAACTTGTGAGAAAAGAAAAAAAAAACAACCAAATACATTAAAWAACCACTGATGGACTCTAAATTACTTATTACCTCACTGAAAAGAAGACTTCAAATCACAATTTAGAACTTGGTGAAGACAGTAGCTCACTGACAAGCAATATATGAGAGAGTGAGTTACAAAAATTTTTAGGTAATTGAGGTACAGTATAGAAAATATTGCTACCTGTAAATTACTGCACATTCACTACTTTAATATCCCTCTCTTAAAAGGACACTGAAGAATTGCAGCAGTCCAAAGAGGCAACAAGGATACTCAAAGGTGTGGGAAGGCCTTTGAAGACTAGAGTTTGCGCAGGTAACCATTCAACTTGAAAAAGAAATGACTCAGAGAATAAAATTGAAGGCTATAAAGCCCTGAGAAGCACGACAGATGCCAACAGGTGATTATTACTCCTGATATGTTACTAACTTCCAGTTCTTGAATTTATCGAGAGACCTATTTAACCCTCAAGCCCTCCACTCACAAACCGTTGGGCTGGACAGAACGTTCTCTTTCCCTAAATTCCTTTCAGTGACTRCCAGGTTTATGGGCCTGGCTATGGGCCGTGCAGGAACGGCAGCACCTTACCCGGGTCTGCGGCCGACGCTTCGGTGGGGAGGGTCTGCAGGGAGCGGCTCAGGTTCGTTTTCATGTCCTGGCTCAGCAAGCGCGAGGAGGATCCCAGCCAGCTGGGCTCTTCCCAGCTCCTCTTTCCGGCCTGGCTCAGGCGGGTGGGGCTGCTGGGAGCGCTGATGGCCCGGTCGTACATCTAAAGCAACAAGGTCAGGCGCGACTGTGGTCAACGGTCCCCGCGCGCCCGCGCCGCGCGCCCCCCGGCGCCCCGGCTCACCCGTTTGACGGCCAGCGTGGCGATGCCCAGCACGGCGGCGCCGCCCACGCCCAGCACGAGCCGCGCGTTGGACAGCACGAAGTCGATGGCCGTGCCGATGCCATTGTCGTCCTTCTTGCCCTTGCGCGGCGCGGCGGTCAGCGCGGCGCCAAGGCCCACGCCGGCGCGCCCGCCGGGGCCCCGCGCGGGGCCACCCCAGCCCGCGGCCTCTCCAACTCATCACCTGCCCCCCGGGGCTGCTCCCTGCTAGAAGTGCCCGAGCGCCCGCCTGCCTTTGCCGCCAGCTCTGTTTGAGACCTGAGCGGAGACACCCCAATTCTGGGTGGCCAGGAATCACTTAAGTAGATTTACATGTGCAGTCACCTTCTGTTTTTCTCTTTTCTTTTTTTTAAAAGTAAGATTTACTTGCGTATTATTTTTATGTAACATATAGGTGTTTTGCTTAAACGTTTGCTTAAAACGTTATATTACTGTTTGTGCCTTTTCTTTTTAGTCGGTGCTSCTCAGTCCGACCGTGGCCTCTTTTATAACATTCTATTTTCTCTTTTGCAATCTAAAGCAYGTATTTTAGTTCACAGGCGAGGCTAGGCCTGTCTGGTGCTTGGTCATGAAAGACCAGGATCTTCCTAGGAGCAGGCAGGTAGTCTTAGCATAGATTTGAGTGTGGAAGTGGACGGACTGTGGCCAATGTCTAACATCAGGCATCTGTGAAACGCCCAAGGATCAACATTAGAGACCACACTGAGCCCCATGGGGAACGACCTCCTTGCTTTCACCACTCACTTATTTCTACCTGCAAGCTGGTGAGTTTGACTCTCAAACAAGTCACGTACAATGTGAAGCGATGTTTTTATTTGCTTAGGTTTACGCTTTCAACTCCTGTTTAACCTCTGATCCCAACGTTTACAATCAAAGAGCTTCCCTGGCCAATGACACCTATAAAGCAAAGTTCTCCATTACTGCACCTGCAGGTAGGTCCTCTGTGAAATAACAAACACAACATGAAACGTGTAACTGGAGCCAAGGTCGGCTTTCTAGGTCGACTTTGAAGCCAGGTAAAGGTTCAGTGCCCGCCTGGCTTTGGCGGTTTAAAACAACCTTTTTACTGCTCCACAACTGACCCAGTTCCATTCCAAGAAAGAAGTTTCCCGCGTGGACGAGCGGGGCATCCAACTACTCGTGACTGACACGGCAGAATATATCACGGTCTCGCAAAACGAACTGTCACACTGGCCTAATGGTTCTCCCCCTGGGGAGGACCTACCTGCGGCCTAACGCATTTGTGCGGGGGGCAGGCGGGCTCCCCCGGCCGGGCTCCTCCAAGGCAGCGGCGGGCAGGGAGCACCAACCATCGGCAGCGGCGGGGCTCGGGCAGCGGAGGGGAGGCTGCGCGGGAGCAGGGCCCTAGCGCAGGCCGCCGAGCTCGCTGCGCAGGAAGGCCCGGCCCTTGGCCAGCTGCCTCTCCTTGTCCTCGGGCCGCTCCAGCGCCTGCTGCCTGCGGAACTCGCGGCGCACGGCGGCCACGTAGAAGTCGCGGTCGGTGTAGCGCAGCGCGCGGCCCCGCCGCAGCAGCGCCCGGTAGAGGCTCAGCACGGCCTCCCGCGACCAGGCGGCCATGGGGAAGCGCCCCTGAGGGGAGCCGGGGCAACGGCCGGCGGAGCGGCGGGGCAACGGCCGGGGTAACGGTCGAGTAACGGCCGCGTAACGGCCGGGCCCGGCGGGCGGGCGGGGRAAGGCGCGGCCGGTGCCGCGTGCGCGGCCGCCTCGCACTCACCGGAGGGGGAGTGGGGGGAAGGGGCCTCTCGGGCCCCTCACGGCAGCCCCGTCCCCTCAGCGGGCCCCGCGCCGCTCCGGGGGTCACCCGGCAACATGGCCGCGCCGCCACCTCCGGGTCGCGGCCCGGCGCCGCGCCCAATCAGCGCGCCGGCCTCGGACGCCGCGGCGCGCCGCGCTTCCGCCCTTACCTTCCGCCCTTACCCCGCGCGGCGCGGCGCCGCCTCCCCCTTCCGGCCGGACGGCGAGCGGGAGGCGCCCGCCCGCGCGGCGCCCCCTGGCGGCGGGGAGGGCCGTGCCGGGGCCCGCCGCCCGCCCCGTTCCCCGCAAACGGCCCCCGTTTCTTCCCGTTTGCCCCGCGATGCGCGCGCACGCGGGGAAGGGGCCGCCCCGACTTATCTTCACGTTCCAGGAGAGACAGAGAGCAGCGGGTTAACTGTCTGAGGACACCTCCAGCTGCCCTGATGCTCCTTACGGAATAACTTACAATTAAATAAATGCCCTTTTATTTATTTATTTATTTTTAAACTCCAAGGAACCCCCATGGCCTGCTTGGAAATTTCGAAGCCCGCCCAGGGCTCTGGGGTGAAGGCAGTAGCTGTCCCGAGGAAATGAAACAAACCTCCCCGCAGCAGCACCCCGCTCGAGTGCGGATGCCCCCTTTCCATTTATCACCTTTTCTTCCGCTCTGGGGAAGCAACGGTCCGTCCTCAGGCATCCCCACCCCCTGCTCCCCCAGTCCCCCCCAAATCCTGCCTAATTACRCCATGCGTCCCCAGGGAAAGGGCGAGAGCGAGAACAAAGCGCCCGCGACAGAGGCGTCCCGCGTCCCACACTGCTCAGTGACACCCGCTGTGACAGTGATGAACGGAGCAGAATGGGAGCCGGACTCCGGCCCGCCTCCCTCCGCGCCCTTCTCCTCGTGTTCATTTCCCTTTCCRAGACAAACAGCCCCAATCTCCTTGATCTCTCCTCGTGTGCGACTATGCCGTGCCCCTAATCAGCCTTTCTGAGAAAGGCTTGAACTGCAGACATATTCCCAGCGAGGCCGTGCTGCTGATTTACATAATAGCATTATCATGTTTTCCATATTATTCTCCCCTTCCTCCTTCTGCATGTTAATATTTCATGTTTGCTTTTTTAACCTGCAGCTGCTCGCAGAGCCGAGGTTTGTGTGGGGCTGCTTACAGCGACATCCAGATCCTTTCCTGAGTTGCTAGGGTCAGGATTTAGAGCTTTCCAATTTTTACGTGCAACGTATTTTTGTTTTGGTTTTTATTTGACTTTGCATATGTCACGTTAAAGGCATTCACTCGTGGTGAATGATGCCGCATTAAAGCAGGGTGAATGCCTGTTGTTGCCCATTTGCCGATCTGCATTTTACTTTTCCTATCTCCTCAAGAGTCAATAGCCTTGAGTCATGTCCTAAAAATGTTTAGAATATTGCTCATCCTCCTTTCCAGATCATGAGTTTATGTACTAAGCTACCCAGCACCTCCGAGAGCATTCCTGTTCCCTGAACCTTCTGCCAGAATGAAAGCCRATCCCGGAGCTCTCCTCCTGCCTTCCTGTGTCCTCGCTGGGCTGCTGATCCACAGAAACGCTTGGCTTCTCACAGCAGGGCTGTGTAACCTCTACACAGGTGCAGCGATCAATCCGGCTCGGGAGGCTCCTCAGGCTGGACGTGGATGGCAGCTGCCTGCAGCACGGGCGCGATGTCTGCGGGCTCCGAGAGGTCGCACTTGTGAGGAGCTGCGTGCCGGGATGAGCTGCCCTTGGGCTCCTGGTGTCGCACCCGTGCGGCCGCCCTCGGGCGCAGCCCCGGCAGCCGCTCCAAAYCCTTCCCACTGCACCGGGAGAAACAAGCTTGTCCCTGGGGTCCCCAGAGGTGCACAGCGCTGTCACCTCCCTGGGGGAGAAGGCCCTTTTTGGAGACTGTCCTCCCTGCCCTCCTGCCACGGGAGTCAAGGACTCCACAAACACCCCCGCCAGTTGCTCCCGTTTTCGTGTTTTGCTCCTTTTTTATTATTATTGTTATTTCCAGGCCAGCCGCCAGCTCCCGGGCCCCCGGCCAGCAGCTGTGTGCGTTGAGAGCTGCGCAGGCCACCGTGTCCAAGGCGCCTCCAAACGGCCGCGGCGCCGCACGGGGACCGCGCACCGGCCCTCCGGCCGCCCCCGTGGCGCTCCCTGCGCCTCGCAGCCGTGCACGTCCCTCCCCAAGCACTGCCAGCTGGGGCATCCCCACGGGGAGCCGCTGGCATCCGAGCATCCTCCCCCGTATTGCAGAGAGAGGGGCCGGTGCCAGCGCAGGGCATCCCTTGGCTACCTGCAGAGCAAGCCCTKGGTCGCTGACACCACGCCTGGGGTTTGTAGACTCGGTTTGTAGTCCGCTGCAGTGGTTCCAATGCGGCTGGCTCCTCTGCTCCAAGTGGCTTCCCTTGTTGGGGACAGCAGCCCCTGTGCCCTGTTGCCTGCAGATAATCTCTGTGCCTGCCCAGGATGCCCTCAGCCCCTTCCAGCCTCCCGGAGCTGCTGGGTGCTGCCTGCAGCGAGCTATGTCCCCTGCAAGGAAGGGAATTTGTGCCCCAGCATTGGCCAGCAGCAGGCCCGGAGGAGAGCCCYCTTCAGCAGTGCAGCTGGAGTACAACAGCGGCCTTTGTGTCCCCGAGTGACTGAGCGCTGAGCTCCTTACATTTCAAAGGCAGCGCAGGTTACAGGGCACCGTAACCCATGCCGTAACCCGGGTGCGAGGCACAGGGACTAACATGTCCTTCCCTCTGTCCCTCCCTCCCTCCCCAGGAGTGCCTGGAGCCGCAGCTCCACTCACGCTCCTCTCAGGTTTGCATGAGAAACTCCCCGTGCAAACTCCCCTCTCCTGGAGCCGCTGCCGCCTGCCTCCAATTGTTACCAAAAGCAGGAGCGATAGCAACAGCAGGGCCTGCTCCAGCCCGTCCTCTATCCTGGCCCTTTTTCCTGGGAGCAGGTCCTGAGCGGCTGAAACGCCATCCCCAGGGCTTCGCACGTGGCGAGTCACCTGCTTTGGTGGGACCTGGGCCATTTGGCAAAGTCACTGCCAGGGATGCATCCGTGTGGAGCATGCGCTCGGAGMGCCTGCCCTGTCTGGGAAAGCAGGGACCTCAATGCAAAATGAGCAAATGGCGCCTTGGAGGGGCTCTCCAGGGCTTTCCAGGGATCTGCTCGCACATGGAAACACAAGGCTGGTCTCCTAGTGGAGCCACAAAGCAACACCAAAATATAAGAGGGGTGACCTGCTAATGCCATCTGAGCGTGGCCTGGATCTCCCTAATATCTTCCCATTAAGAACATATGCACAAGACCTCCTGGAAGTCTAAGTGTGCTCAATAGCTCTTTCTTTTATTYCCCCGCCACAGCTTTTTCTCTCAAACACTTGCTAGGAACGATGACATTTCTGCTGTACGAGGCCTTACAAGAATGCTTTGCCTCCCTCTGGGGTTAAATAACTCCCTGCATCCGGTGGGCTGGAGTTTGGTGAGGGGCAAAAAGCAACTCGAGACTGTTGATAAAGCAAGAGAAGCGCTGGGATCTTGCTCCTTCGCTCCAGTGAAGGCCAAGTGCAGTGAAGGGCTAACAGGGGCTTCTTGTCACAAAACCAGCAGCTTCTGTGTTGGATGAAGACACAAAGCAGAGGTGTGGAGTGATACACAGCTGCCTTCCAAGCACAGCCGTGGTTCACAGCTGAGCCTTAGATTTTAGTTGTAGCCTYAGAGGGTGCCTAGCCACGCTGGCACGGCTTCTTCGGGGTGTATTTTTGATGGGAGAGGAAAGAAAAACATGACAGCCCAGCTGCTTCTTCATGAACCCGAYGGCCTCGCGGTCCCCTGCGCTGGGAAGTGCCGACCCGCGCTGGGGGGTCCTTGGCTTGCCCCATTTCCATCGGGGCTGGCTGCTGCTGTGGGAGCTGCTGGTCGCACGCAGCCTGGCCAGGCCGTGCACAGCACCAGCTTGTCCCAAACAAAGGGGAAAATGTTTTCCACATCCCTGTTTTTTTTTTTTTTTTTTTTTTTCCTCTGTGCATGCCTGGTTCTTTGCAAGTGTCTGGGGAAAGAAAAAAAAAATAGATATGACAGATGATCTCTTGCTCTCTCTTTGGAAAACATCCAGAGTGGGGAACAGGGCTAAAATGCCAGGCGAGAGCTTGGTGGGTAGAGGCAGCCTTGCAGTATACTTGATTTTATCCATTCTCTGGCCAGCACAGTTTCTTTAATTTGAGTTCACGGAGAAGTCATTTTAGATCCTTGTTCTGTACAAATTTCGCTGCTCTTTTTCCCTCAGTTCTCCTCATTTTTAGAAAGGTGAAGTGTGGTCCCAAATTAAATTATTACTGGGATGGATTTCAGCCAAGGGACCCAGAGTCCGAGCTGTGAGGCACAGGAAACAAAAGCAAGGGTAAAACAATGTGGTTTTATTATTTTGGTGTTTCATTTGGCAGGGCGAGGAGAGACATGGCCTTGAAAAATGTGTATTTTTGTATTGCAATAATGCATTTGGAAGAACCATAAGGGCTATTCTCTCTCTTTCCACTTTATTTAAAAAAAATAAAATAAAAAAAGGGAAAAAGGAAACCATAAGCCACAGTGTTGGAAATGTCAGTGATGCTCCATTTTGCCTAGGTCTGTGTAAGGACCTGTGCCTGGGGCTCGTGGAGATGCTTACAGCAGCTTCCCAAATGTGAGTCGAGGCGGGATTATCTTTTACCCTCTCCCTGCCATTGCTCGTCCCGGGCTGATGTTCTGAAGGCAAAGCCTTCATAAAATAAAATAAAATAAAATAAAATAAAATAAAATAAAATAAAATAAAATAAA